GGCTCTAGGGGCTGGCACCATAGGAAACCACAGCCTCTGGTTAAAGATCCCGAAGGCATTAGGGGCACCTGGGTGGCTTAGTCGGTTATGCATCCAGCTCTTGACTTCAGCTCAGGTCATGGTTTCACGGTTCCTGAGTTGAAGCCCCGAGTCCAGCTCTGTGCTTATAGCTCAGAGCCTGCTTGGGATTCTCTCTCTCCCTCCCTCTCTGCTCCTCCCCTGCTCTCTCTCTCTCTCTCTCTCTCACTTGCTTACTCTCAGAAGTAAACTTAAAAAAAAGTTAAAAAAAAAAAAAGATCCCAAAGGCATCAAATCCAGTCTCCCACTTGGGTCCCACCTTGGAAAAGGGGACTTGTCCTTAATGCCAGTTTAACCTCAGGAGGAGACACTGGATCGCCTCCAGCAATGCTCTTGGAAAGGCGCAGGGATGCCATCCTGAACTTGAAAGTCTGCAGTGACAGCAGAGCCCCTGTGGTTTCGGAGAAGCATGTTGGGGAGAGCTAGGCGGGCATGGCTCTGGGTGCACACATGGTTTGGAAAGACAACTTCGGCCCCGCGGACGAATCCTGGTCTCTTGCAATGAGGGAGTGCTTCCTGCAGCCCCCGCGGACAATTTTTGTGCGGGGGCAGCAGGCCAGAGAGGAGCCCGGGGCAGGGTGGGGGGCTGCATGTGGTGGGGGGTAAGGGGTCCCTGCTGAGGGGAGTGGGGCAGGAGTCAGGCAACCAGGGGAAAGTCTGGAGGCTGGAAAGACGGAGCTTTCCTTCTCTCCTCCCATGCCCCTGCAGGGTGCAAGCCCCCCAGCCCCCCAGCCCTGCAGGATGGCAGAGCCCAGACCTTGAGCGGCCAGAGGGAGAAATGCTGACTTTGGAGGGCGGTGGCCTGACGCCAGGAGCTGCCCCGGGGCGGGGCTGGGGATGGAGCACAGGCCTGGCGGGCAGGGCGGGATCCCCCGGTTAGCCTGAGCCCATCCAGCCCTGTCCTTGGCCCCGGCCCTGTCTGACCCCACAGAAGCAGCAGCAGTAGCCTGTGGGCGGGCCACCGAAGGGTCTGCGCGAAGCGGTAGAAATCGGACCGAGGGGCCTTCTCCTGAGCCTGGGCTGAGCGGCGGGGACTGTGGAGGTTTGGCTCGGGGTGAACCAGTGTGGGTGGCTGGGTCACCGCACAATCCTTTGCTGTTTCTCCTTTTGTACCAGCCAGGTGGAGGCCCTGGGATATCTGGGTCTGGCCACAGGGGTGGGGGGAGGGGGTGGGGAGGGACACCCTCCTGCCGGGCCTTGGAGCAATCCCAGGGTCCCCTAAGGCACTCGCAGTTTGGGTGAGAACCAGGGCGGGCCGGGGACCCCTGTGCCCTACCCCTCAGCAGCGGGCTGCTCTCTGCCCTCTCCCCCCAAGTCTCGCCAGACCCCGGGGCCGCTCAGAACAGAGAGAAAGGGCACAGCGTGGGTTGGCCTGAGGGCACTGCTGGTTTCTGGGACCATCTGAATTTGTCTAAATCCCTCAGGGCTCTGAAATTCCCACGGCATACGGGGCTCAGCAGACCAAAATTTCGCAGCCGAGGAGCCAAAGTGGGCAACATAGTGTTTGTGTTGAACAGGCCTTTACCCACCTCTGGTTGCCCCCATGGCATCCACTCTACTCAAGCTCCTGGCCCCTCACCTTCCTGCTTCATTAAGAAGCCGGAAACTAGCACTTGAACTTCTTTAACTTTGCTCAGAGTTTACGACTCGCCTCTAACCTCCTTAACTGTCTCTGGTTCTGGAGGACAGAAGCCTTCTTGGGTCCCAAGGCCAACCTCTCTTCATGGTTCTGATCACACCCCTTACGGGGCCTACAGCTCTGGTCTCTTAGCACCGGCTTGGTTACCTTGACCCAATAACAGTGCCCCCCCCCCGACCCCCCACCTCTCCGTCCTCTCCTTCTTCACATTCCCAGGACCAGTGCACGCAGCCGACCTTGGCTCTCCCCAGTCTCTGTTCCAGCGCCATCGCTGGGCTGACACTAGCTCCCGCCTTGCCCTGCAGCACCACAGACGGCCCCCTCTCTCACCTCCTCCACTGGCAACGCAGGAAAGTGACCCTCTTCTTTCCTCTCTCCTTATTCTGCCACCCGTTTTCCTCGGGAGCCCCAGAGCAGGCTCCAGATCCGTTCTCCAATCCCCTCTTTCCAGACTGATTTCCCACATCTGGTGCCCACTCCCCCAGCCCCTGGGGGCCCCAAGCCATGTCCTGAAATCCCAACGCAACGGGGACACAGCCATTTAGCTAGTGTGGGTTCTCCGGCGGATAGCAAGCAGGTTAGCAAATTCACATGATTCTGATAAGTCTTCTTACACGCGAGTCTACACTTTTGGCACTAACATTTTAGTCTGAGCCAAAAGGCCAATGTTGATATTCTTGGTCCGTCCCTTTACACACTACTGGGGTTAGAGGATTCTGAAAAATAACCTTTGATTCTCCCAAATTAAATCACTTCAGCAACCTGAGTAAAAAAAAAAAAACCTCAAGTTTATAATTTAGACGCTTTCATTTGCACATGAGAAGCGCTGTGGCAGAAACCTGCACTCAGGGAATCAGGCAAAGTTCTAAGTCCTGCTGGAATGCGTGAGCTCACAATTTTATGCTCAATTTCCTTGAAAAACCTTTTGAATCCCAAACTCAGTCCGAGCTGATGAATCAGGACTCCAGAGGCAGATTCTCCTTAACTGGAGAAGGGGGCCGGGGGTGTTTACTACAGACAACAACTTTCTCTTTCTTCCTCAACTGGAATTGGGTTACTTGAAAATGAGGCCCAATCTGTTTGCTACCATTTGCACGAAGTCAAATGTCTACACGAACTTTTCTAGATGTTAGGAAACCAAGCCAACGGCTCGCTGATGCCCCCGCCTGGCACGCCTCACTGCATCAAACACCAAAGGTTTTTCTTTGGGGGGGTCCTGTCAGCCTGAAAGATTTCTGGGGGCCTTGACAGAGTGGGTGGTGTTTTCGGGTATTCAAACCCACAATCGGTGGCTGTTAGGTCAAAATCTGCAGGAAGCAGCGGTGGGAAAGGGATGGGAACCCCAGCAAGGTCAAGAGGACGTGCCCAAGACCGAAGAGCCGGAAGCGTGTGGGGTTGGGGAGGGGTCGAGATGGGGATGACCTGAGGGTGGGGACTAGGAAGGCCGGGCAGCCATGTGAAAAGAATGGAAGCTAATGGAAACTTTGCAGCTGAAGGCAGCTGGGAAGGAGGCTGGAAGTCAGGAAAAGCCTGAGGGAGTCTCCCAGCTCCACCACTATTAGGTGCGGGGCTGTGGTCCCACCACCAGCACTGCCTCAGTTTATACTCCCTGCCCTGGAAGGGCGCTTGGGCTCCTTGGGCAGGATGAGGGTCTCTGAGATGTGATCACGTGACTGAGGCTTCACACTGGGCTCCTCACAGTGGGGTCCTCTGCTCCCATCCTCGGTGAGGCGTGAGGCGGGGATGGAGGAGCTCCCGGTGAGAACTTCGCCTGTGGCTTGGTGTCACCTCGCTCAATGTCTGAGAAAAGGGGCGTAGGAGATGGCGGACTGTTGGATACGGGGCGCAGTCTCCTGGGGCGTCTGCACCAGAAGGTCAGGGGTGGATCCGGACTGGCTTGGAGGTTAGCACCGGTCCCTACAAGCCACCGGCCCGGGCACGCAGCTGCGGACGCCCGCTGCTGTGCTTTCAAGCTGACACGACACACTTGGAACCACCTGGACTCCCAGAAAGCCATCCCAGCCCCCATTCTGAGCAGCCTGATGCCCCAGTAAGCCTATGGATGGGGCCTCACGGGGCCAGTCTTGTGGGAACAGGGGGACTTTTTCTCTCACTTCCAAAAAAAAAAAAAAAAAAAAAGCACCCAAATCTGAAGAATGATGAGCATTGGCAAAAAAAAAAGAAAGGATTTTAGTAAATTATCCAGCCTCAAACAAAGTTCTATTTAGGTGAGTCGAGTAAAAAATACCACAAAGTAAAACACATTAAAAACTTTATTATAAGTATTACACTTGTCCAAATTTGCATCAATTTGATACATTTCTGCTCATTCTGCAGAACACGAGTCACACACTTGCCTTTCCACCTCCGCCTCCCCTCTGCCTGTGCGCGCGTCCTCCGCCGCACGCCCACGCCGAGGTCTTGATGGCCCGGGGCCGGGAGAAGGGCCTCCGGAGCGCAGGGCCTTGCGGCTGTTCCTGGGCTGAGCCCCTGCTTCCTCAGTCCTGAGTCCACCCCCAGCCTGAGAGGCTAACTGAAGATATTCTGAGTACAAGGAACCCCAGCTAGGTTTCACAGAGTTTTCCAGAACCTTGAATCAGTACTTGATGATCATTACTTCTTAATGGAAGTGAGGGAAAGGGGTTTGGAAAGACTCCCTGGACTGAGATGGGCCGGAACGTGTGGCGAGGCTGTGGCGCTGTTTCGCCCACGGCGCTCAGGCCTGGCCGAGTGGACACTAAACAGCCACTGCGGCTTGAAAGCAACTTTGAGGGAAAAAAATAGCGATGAGAAAAAGTCCATAAGGAACATTTTGCCGTGTTCTTCCTGAATAACATTCCCTTTTCCACAGTGGTAGCATTTATGATCAGGTATAATATAGGAGGATCCATTACAGTAAAAAAAGAATAATATTACAGTAGCAGTAATTTCCCATCAGGGGTGCTATTCAATGGCTTACAGAAACCTGCAATTTTAATGCATTTTAAACACATTAGGAATGAGTGATGATTTTCCAAACTAAGGAAAATGCCCAATAAAAAATATAGAAAATACATGCTAATTTAATGGCAAACTTATTTTTGAGATTCTTTTAACAGCAGTGATCTTGGGATTCAGGGAGGGGCCGCAGAGACCACCCTTAGCCCACGAGAACACGGGAGACGGTCAGGGCCAGAGCGTGTGGCCTCAGGCTGACTCAGTAGCGGGCCGGTGCCCGGGCAGCAGCTTGGCCAGTCCTTGTCGCTGCCCCGGGCCCTCAGTGCTGCAGCAGGAAGTTGGTAGCCACATTCAGGTCATTATTTGAAGCTCTCAGCGCTTCTAACGCGTCACCCCTGGAAAATCCCATCTCCATGAGCCGCGCAACCTAAAAACAGAAACAAAACCAGACACCTGATGAGGCTGGCGACTCTGCCCCGAGGGTGCTCTTCAGGAGGGTTTTGCAGGGAAGGTTTTAAAAAAAAACAAAAACAAACCAACACCATAATTTTCATTTCAGTGTGAAATATGATTAAAAAAAATTTTTTTTAATGGCACATTTTAAAGTGCTTAACATATAGCTAATACGAGTAATTATCTCATCTAATCCTCATTTGAGCGACCGGAGTGAGCCTCCCAGGGTGAAGCGAGCCGCCGGGACGAGCCCAGGGGGTGCGGCCGGGAAAGGCGGCCTGTACAGCAGCCCGGCGCTCACACGACTGCACGCTGCTTCAGCGTCAGATCGGATTCCCGTGAACGACGTCGCAGCCGCGTTTCCTTGTGCACGTGAACAGTTGCTTAACTGAAGATTAACTTCTGATGCTTGCAGATGCCGATGACAAAAATGCAGGCAGGTTCCTGGAATCACACGGCCAGACACGGTAAACCTCTCTCGGGAGGGGCAACATTTGCTAAGGTCCTGGCTGGGGGCTCTCCAGGCAGCAGCCCTGCGCACAGGGAGGTGAAGCCTGGGGCAGAACCGGGGGGGAAGGATGGAGGGAAGCGCAGGGAGGGCGAGGCTTGCATTTTCTTGACCACAAATCCCGAATCTGTAAATACAGAGGTTTCCTGCACTTTCAACATACGATTTCCAATGAAGCAGGCAGGGCCACGGAAGGTTCGGCATACCCTATTCCCCACTTACAAATGTGTTACAAATGGATTTATGACCCCAGACCAGCCAAAGGAACCTATTGTTTGTACTTCTGCTGAAACATACGTTTGTAATAACATACAGTGAAAAACGACATTCTCATATGTGTTGAGATTTTCACATGTGGGTTAAAGAGGCTTTTGTGGACTGAGGACTTAGTCACCGTTTCTGATCTTTCCTGCAGAAAACAATGCCCTGGGTGCGAAGCTGACAGAACACGCCTGATGCTGTGGGGGTCGGGGTGGGCGTGGGCAGGGGTGGGGGGAGAAGTGAGGAGAGAAGGAGGAGGAGGGTGGGGGGCCAAGCGGGTGGCAGGGGAGGAGACGGGAAAGTGCACGGCCCACACCCAGACTGCGCGTCCCTCGAGGAGCCTCAGGGAGACGCTAAAGGAGCTGAGCGGAAGCAGACACCAGGAGACACTTCTCAGAGGCGGGGGCTCTAGCTCGTGTTTCCCAAAGTGAGGCTGCGATGCCTCGTTAGTGGGTCGTGAACACTCAGTGAGGCAAGAGCAGCGTTCAAACCAGGATGCAGCGAGGGTCCTCCTTCCACAAGGCGCCGTTTCCGTTCTCACGCACACATGTGTCTGCTGCGCGCTGCCTCTCTCGTGTGGGCTGTGGTCAGACACATCTGACAGCTGTTGTCTGAGGGTCGCTCGGTGCCTGGGGAAAAGGGCCGACACATGTGGGAGACCCACTCCCTGGGCCGGGGGACAGTGTGGACAGATAGGTGGGAATCTTCTGCTTTCATTTCCCGCTCAAGGAAAGAACCACCTTTCCCAGAGCACCACAAACACTCCTCCCTCACTGGCCAAGATGGAAAGTCCTTCCTCCGCAGAAGCAGAATCCGCCTCTCACTAGCTGTCATCCGTGGGACAGCACAGGTCCTAAGTTTGCCCTTTGAAGTAACAGAAAACAACCCCGTTCCCTTTTCTGGGTGAAGCACTTCGATGCCCTGAAGTCCTCCCTCCCACGTGTGTCTCTAGGCCAGCGCCCCGGCTCCTGGTCTGGCCAGGGCGCCACGGAGCCTCTCCCGCCATGACCGCCGGTGCTCCCTCAACTGGAAGGGCCTTCCCTCTGCCTGGGCGGCTCCGCTTCGTCCACTGGCTCTGGGGACACCTGGCCCTGTCCCATTCTCCCAGGCCAGATGGAAGCCCAGACAAAAAGTTCTGTGGCTCCACTGACCTGTGTCCTGGCTCCTGTCACTGTGCCGTGAGCCTCCTGAGAAAAGGCGCCGGGGCTGCTTTCTTCGTTCCTGCACCCCGGGATCCACCTCCTTCCAGTGCAGGCCTGGCACTGGCTGGCCGCTGCTGTCCTGTGCTTGCAGCCCTGGTCACAGCAGAGACGCGCTGTGGCAGTGTGCACAACATGAGTGTGCGTGCACGTGTCTGTGCTTGTGTGTGCAACCACATCTTCCCAGTGTGGCCAGTTACCCTGATGCCTGCTGAAAATACCCCCCGGGCTTCTCAAATCCTACCCTGTAAGTTTATATTTGATCTTCTGGGTTTAGGACTGCACACATCCGTTAAATTCCCTCTGGTCATTTTCTAGCCAACCACAACCTTTTTCAGTTTATTTTTTTAATTACATTTTTTTAAATGTTTATTTATCTTTGAGAGAGAGCATGAGCAGGGGAGGGGCAGAGAGAAGGAGATACAGAATCATAAGAAGGCTCCAGGCTCTGAGATGTCAGCACAGAGCCTGATATGGGGCTCAAACCCATGAACCATTGAAAATCATGACCTGAGCTGAAGTTGGATGCTTAACCAACTGAACCACCCAGGTGCCCCTAATTTCAGTTTAAATTCTGTTGTCTCCTAAGTTACTCATCCTCCTCAAAATTTTATCACACCCAAATTGGAGTAGCAAACTTCTACAATGTCCCTCAAGTTATTGATGAAAATGTCAAGCAGGCAAAAATCAAAAGTAGGGCCCCAAACCCACTGCAGACCTCCCTTTCTATTCAAGGGGCTCACCAACTTTTTTTTTTTTTTTAAGAGATTTTTAACTGGTTTAAAACCCACTTCATATTACCTACCCCACATATCACCATGTATCTCTCACAGTCATCAGCTGTCTTGGTGGCATCCTGCGTCAGCAGGAGCAGGTCGGTGGGTACAGACCACAGCACTCTTCTTAACACTCAAGGCAACTGATACTCTATTTCAGGCTCTGCCACATGTGAAACATCAATTTTGCTGTTCGATTATGATCCCCCCACTTTCCTCTTTCCTGGGGGGGATCTCAAACAGTGTGACTGGCCCTGCTTTCTCGACCCCGACCAGCACACTCTGGGAGATGGGCTCTAGGACCTGGGCTGGACGCATGTCAAAGCCGGGCGATCCTTCCTAGGTCACTTCCTGGACTGAAATAACCTTTAATGATGTTTATTCCACTTACTTCCAGTTAAGAGGCACCATCTTCAGTGGAGTTAACTTGGCCCAGGAGGAGGTGGGCAGCTCCACCTGTCTTCTCTCTGTTACCACGAACGCGATGACACTGCCCAGCAACGTGGCCGATCATAACGACTTCAAACAGTGCGGCATCGCTACATTCATGGTCACCACTTAGTCACCATTAGCACCTCAAGCACAGCTCAAGATGGGCTGCTTCTTGGCACCTCACCAGCAGGAATCAATGTGTCTGTTTGGCAAATCCTGATTCATCCTGGAGCCAGACCCCCGCCGCCAGCGGGTGAGGGTGCTGGGCCACAACTTCCAGCTGGTACTGAGTCTTCCCTCCACGGACTCCGAATTCGGTTTAGAATCCAGAAGAAGCTGATGACAGGTTGGCCACACAGGCCTCCAAGGCCTAGTCTCAGCACTGGCTGCAGCCCCCTGGAGGGGACCCTCAGGCCTCGGACAGCCGGGCCGTGTCCTATGAACATACACAAAGCCGGTGTGGACGTGAGGCTTCCTCCCGAGTTCGTTTGGTCTCTCAGAAATGAACAACCACATGTGCACCATTGCTGGTTTTGACAACTGGGCTGGGTTTTTCACAGGTTTGGCTGAGGAGCATGTTTGCTGTACTGATAAGCTTGCACAGCTGGCTGATCACCCTCTGGAGGCTGGCAAACATGCCCCGTTAGCCAAAGCTGGCTTCGGAGCTTTCTGCATTGTTTGGGGGAGGAGAAAAAAAGTGTGACTGGAGAATTTTCATGGTGGAATGACCTGGTGCTTTAACCAGATGAAAAAACAAGGTATAAATAAATAATGTTAATAGTTCTTTTAAAAACTGAACAATTACACTAAGGAAGTGCATTTGTAAGGTTCCCCTAGGGTCCCAAATAGTAAACATCCAAGGAAAAATGAAACTGTATGTTGGGCTCAGGAATGTGGACAATAATCAGCCAGAAAAGACGAGAAGCAGAGAGACCGCAGGCCCCACGGGTGTTTTCTAACATCGCAGTGGAGGGTGCCTGGAAGGGGGCCGTGCACCCCACTGCTGTCCTTTCTTGGGGGCTGGTTCAAGGCTCACATCCAGATACAAGAGCTGGAGCAGAACCAGGGCCACCAGCTCCCCTGCTGGTAGAACAATCTCCTTACGATGTAACAATTACAACAACGTAGCAGTTACGTGTTAGGGACTTAACAGTTCCCTGTGCTGAGAAGCCCAGCTTGCCCGGTGCCAGTGCACTCGGCCCGTCTCTGTGCACGTGAAGCCTGAACTCTGGTGCTCAAATGGCAGAAAGAGAAAACCAAGACCCGTGCAGACCCACGGTCAGATGCGCAAATACAGACAGGCTTTGCAAAGGGCCCAATTCCTTCAAAGAAAAGCACAAAGGAGGCTGGCAGCCATTTTAGATGCGACCCAAGTGCCAGAGTCATCCCAGCCACCCCTGCGGGGAGGGGGGAAGCCTGTCAGTGGATGGAGAGAGGCTGAGCTCTGGGCGCGGGCCCCCATATGCCACGTATTCAGCATGCAAGGCAGGCTGGGGATGACACCTCTGGCTCTCAGACACGAGTGAAGGGCCTGGCCTGGTAACGAGCGCCGGACAGGCGCTCAGTGAGCCCCACCCCCCCGTCATAATTCTCACCCCACTGAGGAGTGACTGGCCCAGGTACGCGAGTCCTTCCCTGTGACCCTCGTGGCCTCAGTTCAGAGGTTCCCAAAACCTTGACAAAACCACCCTCGGCTTTGGTTTTTAGCATTCACTTTAGCTGCTTTCACTTTGCTTTTTTATATCCTTTGTTGGTCGAAGAACCGATATGTCTTTTACAACGATCAAGCGCACGCGTGTTTTCAGGGAGCCCCAATGAGCACTGAGCAGCTGGAAGGAGAGTCTTGGGCCGAAAATCAGTCCACCCTCTCCTCCCACCCCCCCCGCCCCTAGGTCAAACACGGGCTTCGTGGCGAAGTTCAGCCTCCTATATACATTCCACCACAGTTAAGTACAGCCATGCTTAAAACCAACGCCAGAATGACTTCTGTTACATAGTTCCAGGGTTTAAAAGGCACATGCAAGAACTGGCCTAAGAAAACTAACGTGGTGAGCCCAGATGGAAGTCGAAAAGATAGGAAAAATCTTTCCTCAAAAGGTGAGCATAGGGGCGTCTGGGTGGCTCAGTCGGTTGAGCGTCCGACTTCAGCTCAGGTCATGATATCACGGTTCATGGGTTCGAGCCCCGCATCGGGCTCTGTGCTGACAACTACCTCAGAGCCTGGAGCCTGTCTTCAGATTCTGTGTCTCCCTCTCTCTCTTACCCTCCCCTGCTCATGCTGTCTCTCTCTCAAAAAAAAAAAAAAAAAAAAGGTGAGCATAAAATTCTAACAACAGTCCACGTTATTTTAGTGACTCTTAGAAAACCTTACTTTATATTTGTACACATTGTAGCAAATATTCAACTGTGATGATTATATAAATAATGGTATTTACAGATACTCAGTCCACCTCCCTCCCCATCCAGGGCATATATATTAGCCGCATAACACATCAAATCACACTGGAAACTTAATTTGTTTCCTCTACAGGCTGTTTCTTATGTTTTCAGTTCAGCTTTTGGAATGATAGCCATCTGTTACTTGATCGGATAGAACATTCAAGGGAAGAGAAAATGTCAGTGTAAAATCTCTTGGTCTTGACTAGAAGATAAAAATACAAAAACACCTCCTAATCAGTTTAAGTGTGTTGTGGATAGTACAAGAAAGTCATTCACTCAACGAACTCTCCAAGGGTCTGTGTGAAGGGTGTGCGGTGAGCTGACTTAGCGTTGTCTGTCTTCCCCAGCAGGCAGACGGTGAGCTCCGTGGGGGCTGGGGCTGCGCCTGCTGTGTCCCCCACCTGACAGAGCCTGGCACACAGAAGGTGCCCAGCAGTGCTCAGAGAAGGAGTTTAAGTTTAGTGATGTAAGTTCTTTAAGGACCTGACCGTCTGCCAGGGGATGACCACCAATAAACAGCCTGGGGCCGGAATGATAAGGCTGGTAGAAGCCTCAGGACCCGCACACACCCTCAGCCCCACCTGGCTGGCTTCTCCGTCAGTCTGGGACTGGCTAGCTTTGCAGTGGTCTGTCTGGGAAACTTAAAAAAACAGCAACAAAAAAAGGCCCATAGCATCTTCTGAGAAGCATTTCTTTCAACATTCCTTGTCCATTTCAGACCACAGTAAGTCCCCTCCTGCTCATGCATCACAGGGAAGCTTCTGTCTAAACATTCTCACCACAGAACATCAGAATTGAGCTCATGTGGATTTCTAAACACCAAAATAACCCTTTCCTGTTTGTTTTAAATGGCGACTGGCTTAACATCCAGAGAGAGTGTCATGCCATCCTGTCTCCCGCACCCTCAGTCATAAAAACTGGAGGTGCCTGAGGGGAACAGCACCGATGCCGGGTTTCTGTAGCGGAAGACTTGACTTTCTAGGGGAAGGCTCAGAGAGAACTGTGCGTAAGGGTTGGCAAGGAGGGGCTGCTACTGGAATTGCAGCCTGCCATGTGGCACGTCTCCCAGGCTACCCGCCTCTCTGCAGGGGGCTCTTGGTCAAGGGACCGAGGCCCTCTGTGGCCATGCGCCGAACACAAATAAGGCAGAACGAGTTTTTCCTAGAATTGGTTTCCCAAAGAGAGACCCTGAACAAGAAAGAAGAACAAGAAAGAAACCTATAGAGATGGAGATAAATCCCTATCGGTTTTCCTTTCCTTAAAACAAAACAAAACAAAACAAAACAAAACAAAACAATCCTCTCTGATTGGGACACATGTGCCTCCAATCTCGAGGTAATTCTCACTCAAGAAAATAAGCCAAGTCCTACTTTGCCTTCTACTGGAGATGCCAGTTCTCTGTGGTGCCAGCGAGTGAGGACGCTCATCCCGGTGGAGACGATGGCCATCCCTCTCAGTGACCCACTCCGCTTGTTTTGTTCAAGTGAGGCTGTGGTTTTCTTTAACTTCCCTCTAGCTAAGGGTGTCAAAAGCAAACAGTCTTTGGGTTCTACTTCCCAAATTCTGACCCTTGCAGGAAGTGATGCCCACCTGAACGATGCCCACCCCAACCCCACGCCACTGCGCGGGCCACGTGCACGCCTTGCCGGAGGGGCACCCCAGCAGTCCTGGGGGCTGTGGCTCACCTTGCCTTCTCCTTCAGTATAACGACCTTGCTGCCGCTCAGGGCAAGCCGACTCTCCTACCTCGTGGCTTCCCTGCTGCAGGTCACCTGTGGCTCAGTGCGCTTCTCTTCCACGGACACCTGGCCGCTCCCCTCCTCCTCAGAAATGCTGAACCCCTTTGATCACACGTATTGGGGGAGTGAATGGTTTCTGGTTGTTTTATGCTTCTTCCTGGCTACAGGCTGCTCAGAGGCCCCTTATTTTTGCATTTCTGCTTTGTTCAGGCTTTGGTGCTGAGAAGGCCCTCATGACAGATGGGATGAGCTCCACTGCTTATATCTTTTAGAAGACCCAGCAGAATGAGGCATCCCCCAAAATCTGGCTAATTATTTGACTGCCACCCAATATTTCATTCTAAGACATTTAGCTTTGCTATTCTCTGAGAAAACCTATTTCCAGGCTAAGCGTACGGATGGAAAAGTCTGACATACTACCACTTTCTAACAGAGCTTCATGTTCAGCCGTGCTCTTACCACCGGTGGCCGCCTTCTGTGTGTCAGGCTCCGTGTGGCGTGGGAAACAAGGAGAGATGATATTAGCCCTCACGGAGGTTGCCATCACCAGGGAAAACAGATAAAACTTGAGTCGCTGCTGGACCAATTCCCAACTCACGACAATTATACATACACAGAAGTACAAAGCGTACCCCAAAATAAATAACCTATTAGTGAGGGAACTGTTTAAGGTGAGTTTTTATGGTGACAGTGGTGAAGATTCTGGAGAAACAAAGAGAGAAGAAAACCTCTCACTAAGATTAAGATCCTCTCCGACTAAATGCATTTTGCTCTTTATCATCTAAGACTGAAATGCCTTGTGTGAATGCCCTTCTCTCTCTAGTTGGGTCAATGGATATTTCAGAGAATGTGAATGGAATCCACACGACGGGTCTCACGTATCATCAACGTACTAAGCAAGCATCTTGTAAGCACTCGTAAGCAGGTTTCCTGGGCAGGGATGGAAGGAGTCACACTGTGGTTATAATACACCCCTTCCTCCACGGTAGTCTGCCCTCCAGGGAAACCCAGTGATGTGACTATGTGACTCGGGGTCTAAGATCCTGCTGTGGTTCCTCAGTGCCTCCAGCAGAGAAGTGGGCGTTCAGGCACAGCTGTAGGGAGGCTGCCCGCCCCTCCAGTACTGGGATACTTCTGCAGAGCTGACTAGAGATGTCGCTGGGCCCCGCTCCCTGAACGGGCTCTACACCACTTGAGGGCAGGAAATTACTCCTTATTTATCTCTGTGTTTCAAGAACATAGGCAGTGGCCAGCCTGATGCAGAACAGACAGCTGATAATTCTTGGCTGGCTAGGAGGAAAAGAAGGTGTGACTGGATGATAGGAAGCTGCAATCCTTAACAGTCCACTTACGTTCACTCTGTTGAGCCCTAGCTCTGGTTTAGTCCCGTTTAATTTCCTTGTCCGCTTCTACCTGTATATTCCATTAAGGAAAAACCAGAGGGTCATTTCTAAACTTAGGAGGGTTCAAAAAAGACCAACTTGGTAAGTGTTTTCCCTCTTTGATTTAAAACAAAAATAGGAAGCTAATGACAGAAGTTCATTGCTACTTTTGACTATTGATGTAAATATGAAAACCCCTGGTTAAAAACAAAAGAAGAAAGAGAAATGGAATAATGTGTATATTTCTTTTTAAGATAGTAGACATTTGAGCACATTTTGTTATTAAAAAGAGTTTTTGCAGAGTGGCACTTGGTTTTGACAGATTCTTAAAAGGGTTGGGGCTGGGGCCCCTGGGTGGCTCAGTTGGGTAAGCATCTGACTTCAGCTCAGATCACGATCTCATGATTCATGAGTTCGAGCCCCACATCGGGCTCTCTGCTGTCAGCATGGAGCCTGCTTTGGATCCTCTGTCCCCCTCTCTCAGCCCCTCTGCCCTTGGACTCTCTCAAAAATAAACATTTAAAAATATTTTAAAAAGGAGGAGTAGCCAGGGGTGACATCTTCAAGGGGCGATAAACTGGCAACGGTGTTGAGTCCATTTGTTGAAAAACAGTGAAAGACTGTGAAGAACTAAATATTCAGAGGCTTAACAACAGCAAAAGTAGAAAAAGTGGCAAATTTTTTCTGTGGCTGTATGTGAGACTATTCCGAGATATAGTTAAGAGATGCTCATTCTTTCTTAGACTATTCTTTGTCTTCCGGTCTGAAAGAACTCTCACTAAAATTCCTTGAGTATATTTTTTACATGAGAGAAAACAATAGTTTTCACAGTTCTTGGCTTAAAAAGTTATTAAGTTTCCTAATGCATTAAAACTGCATGACTCTGATATCTAAAAGATACAGCATATTTAAATGAAGAATTAAGCATAAAGAGACTTGGTTCATCCAAGCTATCTTACTACGTTACTAATAGGTAATATTTTAGATAGTGTCTAGCTTCAAAGTAACCTGTCTAGCTTCAAAGTAACCAAGAGAGTACATATTAACTACACATTTCTAAACATTATTGTAAATGTCCTGAGTGCAAGAACATCCCCCCCCCTCCCCTTTTACAGTTTGGCTAGCACCGATCACAAATATTGCCAAGCGTCTACATAATAAGCAATGTTACGGGGAGAATCTGGGTTTTAGGGCAATGACAGTCAGTAATGGTCATTTTCAGGAAAATCAAGAAACAAGGTTTAGAAAATCAATAAATAAGGAAGCATATGTTAAAAACAGCCTCTCACATATTTACATCTTTTCATACCAGAGTGAGGAAGAAGTTAATGCTGTTTAAATTGATATTGACAACATGTTAACCTGTTGCCATTCTGGGAGGATCAAGGAAAATGATTCGTTTAAAAACCCTGAAGACTTCAATTACACACATTCTCCTTATTGTTATTTTTGACACCTTTTTTTTCTTCAAAGTGCCAACACTAAGAGCTATCTCACCTTAAATACCTCATATAACGGCTGCTCTGTGAGGAATGTGACTCGTGGCTGTAGCACAATAAGTAAAAGGTAATAGAACTGTTTCTTTTTACCTGAATTTGAGAGCATCAGCTTATTTTTGAAACTGTTACCATAAATATCTTACAAAATGAGTTACTGGGTTTTATTTTCATAGCTATGGGGATAATATTTTTTCTAGAAATTCTCTAGGGGCAATTCTCTAGCCCCTGGGTGGCTCAGTTGGTCAAGTATCTGACTCTTGGTTTCGGCTCAGGTCATGATCTCATGGTTTCGTGAGTTGAAGCCTCACATCAGGCTCCGCGCTGGCAGCACGAGCCTGCCTGGGATTCTGTCTCCTCTCGCTCTGTCCCTCCACTACTCATGCTGTCTCTGTCTCTCTCAAAATAAATAAATAAACTTACAAACATTAAATAAAGAAGAAGAAGAAATTCTCTAACGGAGGTGGAAGAGAATGGGTTCCTTCCTCCACCTCTCAGTCCTGAGGAGCCACTAAAATGATCAGTCTGAGTGAGAAGGTGTGCGGGGAGCTAGAGCAATTCATCAGGCACATTCAGTTGGTTTCTTTCCAAGGTGTTTATGGTGGCCTAATCCAGGGTGGCCATAAGAGCTCTGCCCAGAGGCGCCTCATGAGTTCCAGGAAAAGTCAGGACACAGCTTTGCCTCACAGACTGGGTGCCCTGGGTCCAACTGACCTTTATGTACTTTGGGGACAGGGGAGGTAATGGCCTGGATGATGTGACCAGCTATGAAATGCTGCCCCTGACTTGTCTGGTGAGAGGAAAACAACATATGTAGAACGAAATTTAAAAGTGTCATTGCTACAATGCTCTAAACTTCTTACACAGATTTTTTTTTTAACTTTCTAGTTTGAAATAATCTCAAACTTAGAGAAAAGTTTCAAGAATAGTACCTAGAACCAATTACTTTTCTTTTCAGTTCAAGAACAAGAACATTCTCTTTCCTAATCACAGCCTGTACAGATACCAAATCCCAGAAACTTAACATTAATATAAAACTCTGATCTAATCCACAGTCCAATTTCATCAATTGGCTCTAAAATGTTTGTTCATCAAAAATGTTTGCATTGTGTTCCAGGAATGCAGTCGGATCATGTCTGACGTTTCGTTAACATGGTTCCTTAGTCCCCTTTAACCCGGAACAGCTTGAGGCATGAGTATTGTTGAAGAATACAGGTCAGATATTTTATAGGATGTCCCTCAAACTGGTTTAACTGCTTTCTCTTTATGATCACAGTTATGGATTTTTTATTGACAGACATAACTGATGTGTCCTTCCAGGGCGTGCCGCCAGCCTCTCTGTTCCATTACCGGTATACTGATTCCGCTAACGTGGTGAAGCTGGTGTCCAGTTTCTCCACTATATGGTTAACTATTTTCCTTTTGTCATTAATAAGCAAATTTTGGGGAGATACTTGGAGATTATATAAGTAGCCAGTTCTTCAGATATTGATGATTTGTCCCTGAGTTGATTTTTATTCTAATAGTTGCAAAATTATGATTTTCTAATACCATCCATAATCCTTTCCTTATTACTTTATGTTCCTTTTCCCTTGTGGATGTATATACCTATATAAATATTTATCTTCTAACGTTAGCATGAGCTCATGGATTGCCCCCCTGCCCAGGGGGTTATAGTAAGAACTGTCCTTACTTATTTTGATACCCAAATCTGATGTCCCAGATTTGGTCAGTGGGAACCCCTCAAGTTGGCTCTGGTGTCCTTGGGACCAGATCCCTCAGTTAGGGGAGTACTTTCTTAACTCCTTGCATGGTGTTCCAGGGTCACCTTGTTCCTTCCCAACCCTAGGCTTGGGCCCCACCATTTCTATCGGCGGGCCAACATATTTGGAGACTAGATCAAGGCAGCAGGTGTAGTCGGTGCTACTGGGATGCCATTGCTTTTGATGCCTTTAGATTGACAGAGCTAAGACACATGTGTACACACACACACACACACACACACACACACACACACACTCTCTTACTAAATCATGAGTTTATGCTGATACCTCTAATTACAATCCAACCCTACAGGATTCTTCCTTGCTCTATTTCCCTTTTCTGTATTTGTATTTTCCTTTTTCTACAGTAAAAGCAACCTACTTCCTATTTGCTGAAATCTACAAAACAACCAACATAATTTCAGAATTGCTGTACTCCTACTACCGTGAAAAGAAACATAGGAAGAACTTAAGATTTCTTTGCAATCCTTTTTTTTTCTTTAGATTGAGAGCATATTATGTTCAAAAGTTACAAAAATTGATTTTTCCCTCTCTCCTATGTTATTCATTCAAAATACAGTTGCATCTTTTATGTGTTTCTTTTTAGTTTTACTCCTCTATTGTTGATTTGCTTTCTGAATATGTAAAACATCAACCTGATCCCTAAAGTCAAAACCGTACAAAAGGTTCTCTCAGAGAAGCACCACTGCTCCCGCCCTCCGGTCCTGCTGTCTCCTAGCCCTTACAGAGAACAAATGTTAGTAGTTCCCTTTATGTATAAAGTATTACAGATTTCAAAATAAGTGGTCACAACGCATTTTTTTTTTCCAAATCATGCCTTCCTCAAACTTACAAGACCCCCAGTAGCTAATAGAGCCCAAGTGTCTGTCACTATGAGCAGTGGTTTAACTGTTCTCAAGATCTTTGTATTCATACACTTGATTTCTTTCAAGTCTTGTTTACCCAAACCCTTCAAGTTTGAAACCTAGGTTTAGGGCAAGCACCAGTGTTTCTGATTACCTGTTCCTCGGAAACCTCTAGAGGAGGGGACGCTTGTTCAGACTGCCGACCGTCCTGATAGTTTACATTTCGTCGCTGACGTAAAGGAGGGAAAAGACGGTTCCAATTGATCATTCCTCCCTGAAAAGAGACCAATACACAATGATCAGACACAGAAGGAGAACCATCTTACTAAGGCTCCGAAGTGCTTTTTCTTGCCATGAGGTCACATGTATAGACTGGGAAATAAAAGGTCATAATGGTTCTGCCGAAGGCAAGCAGTCCCAACCCTACGGCATCACACCCCCCTTCAGTCACCAGGGTGAAGCCAATGGTACCGCCAGTTACTTGTGCACCTTGGCTCTGGAAGGCTGTGGAAGATACGTGCAGACATTCCTAACCTCAGCCTCGCTGGGTCCCCACTGAGCCTGCCCCATCTCCACGGGACACTGAGGAGGATGGGGCTTTGCCGGATGTGGGCGGGAAGACACGGAGAGCAGCCAGGAGCTTCCAGAGCAGGTGGCTAACACACTCCTCGCCTTCCCTTCTCCTGCGCCTCTTCCTGCTCCTTCTTCCTTCTGTTTTAAGTAACTTCTGAGCATGCCCACTGGAGGGGGACTGCGGGCGGAGCTGAAACCCTGCTTGCAGGACAGGGCGGAGACTGAGAAGGCACCCAGGGACGGACGAGAGGGTTGGAAGTAAGGATCAGAACTGTTCTCATGAGTGGCTCTAGGGATAACTTAGATTGATGGCCATGTTATTTCTTGCTTACTCTATGTCATCAATGAAAAAAAAAAAAAGGCCACCATGTAAAGGCAAATGTACACAGTGTGATTTTTTTTTTTTTTTTTTTAATCCATGTTTTTAAAGATGCCTGGGTGGCTCAGTTGGTTAAGCGTCAGACTTCTGCTCAGGTCATGATTTCACAGTTTGTGGGTTTGAGCCCCGTGTCAGGCTCTGTGCTGTTAGCTCAGAGCCTGGAGTCTGCTTTGGATTCTGTATCTCCCTCTCTCTCTGACCCTCCTCCACTTGTGCTCTCTCTCTCTCCAAAATAAATAAAAATACAGAAATAATAAAAGAATAAAAATCCATGTTTTTAGCTACCTGCCAATATTTTAACTTATCAATTTATATCTTCTCTATTTCTAGATTTAGGAGAAATTACAGACTAAGATAACATGAAAAGTTTCCTACTATGAACATCTAACAATGCTAGACAAATAAAATATTTGACATGCGTAGCTGAACATGAAAGGAAGAAATGGAGGCTCCAAGGTCCCCGAAACAAGTGCTGGAAAACCAGAACAGTAAGCAAGCAAGCTGCCAGGGGCGGGGCCGTATGGGCAGGCACATCCTGCTAACCTAGAACCACTTGGGTTTCATCATCTATTTGGGTTCAGGAGATGAGGCCTCAAGTATGAAACAGGTAGTGTCTCTGAGCTTATTACCTACATAGAGGCACAACCCTCACATGGCAACACCCTCAGTGAAAGAGAAGATGAGAACAAACAAACCAGAAAGGCGATCTTTCTGAGGGAGAGGGCAGTAATCTTGGCCTCCTTGAGAATTAAGAAATGAGAAATGAGAAATCTGAGGTTGAAGTTACATTAAATAAGTGTTTTAAGAACCCATCAAAAAGTACATAAGAATTGGTTCTGGGATAGAGTTGGACATCTCTAAGCAGCCAAGCAGAAGCAAATGTAATATTACTCTAGAGGGCCACTCTTTTACCTTGGGGTTACATGGGATTTATAGCGAACACTCCACTTGGGAAATACTTAGAATCCAAAATTCAAAACCCATGAGGAAAAAACCTATCATAAGCAAGACTCAGTGTGGACAATAAACAAGATTAGATCCTTCAGAGTCTAGGAATCAGAAGCACTGGCACTTGGGCCATGATAAAGGAGACATTACAAGTCAGCAGGATGAGGACAAATGGGACAAGTGACTCTATGGAAAAAAGACAAAATTAGACCTTGACTTCACACCATATACAAAAATACGTTTATTTAAACAATAAACTTAAAGATGTAGATGACACCAGTAAATGGAAAGACATTCCATGCTCATGGATTAGAAGAATAAATATTGTTAACACGTCTATACTATTCATAGCAATCTATACACTTAATGCAATCCCTATCAAACTACCAGTGGCATTTTTCACAGAACAGAGCAAACAATCCTAAAATTTGCATGGAACCACAAAAGACCCCGAATATCCAAAGCAATCTTGAAAAACAAAACAAAACAAAACAAAACTGGAGGCATCACAATTTCAGACTTCAAGTTCTATTACAAAGCTGTAGTAATCAAAACAGTGTGGTACCAGTACAAAAATGGACACATAGATCAATGGAACAGAACAGAAAGCCCAGAAATGAACCCAAAATTATACGGTCAATTAATCTTTGACAAAGGAAGAAAGACTATATGACAGGAAAGAGTCTCTTCAACAAATGGTATTGGGAAAATTGGTCAGCTACATGCAAAAGAATGAAACCGGACCGTTTTCTTATGCCATACACAAAAATAAACTCAGAATGGATTAAAGACCTATACGTGAGACCTGAAACCATGAAAATCCTAGAAGAGAGCACAGGCAGTAATTTCTCTGACATTGGCTGTAGCAACATTTTTCTAGGTATGTCTCCTGAGGCAAGAGAAATAAAAGCAAATATAAACTATTGGGAATATATCAAAACTAAGCTTCTGCACAATGAAGGAAACAATCAGCAAAACTAAAAGGCAACCTACTAAATGGGAGAAAATATTTGCAAATGACATATTCAATAAAGGGGAAGCATCTAAAATATATAAAGAACTGATACAACTCAACACCCAAAAGACAATCCAATTAAAAAATGGGCAGAAGGCATGAGCAGAAATTTCTCCAAAGAAAACATACAGATGATCAACAGGCACATGAAACGATGTTCAACATTACTCATCACCAGGGATATGCAAATTAAAACTACAATGAGATATCACCTCATACCTTTCAGAATGCCTAAGATCAAAAACACAAGACAACAAGTGTTGGTGGGAATGTGAGAAAAAGGAACCCTCATGCACTGTTGGTGGGAATACAAATTGGTGCAACCACTGTGGAAAATACTATGGAGGTTCCTCAAAGTTAAAAACAGAAACTTACTGATCCAGTAATTGCACTACTGGCTATTAACCCAAAAAATACAAAAATACTAACTCAAAGGGATACATGAACTTCTATGTTTATAGCAGCATTATTTATAATAGCTAAATTATGGAAGCGGCCCCAGTGTCCACTGATAGATGAAGAGATAAAGAAGATGTGGATGTGTGTACATATATATACACATACAAATGTATATATACATATATATGTATATATATATGTATGTGTGTATATATATATATATATATATGTATTGACTAATAACCAGAATACATAAAGAATCAATGAAAAGAAATAAATGACTCAAAAGAAAAATGAATAATGTACAGCTAATCCTTGAACAATATGGGTTTGAACTGTGTGGATCTATCTACACTCACATTTTTTGATAAACACAGTATAGTTTGTGGTATCAGTGGGCTTCTGGTGAACAACAGGCTATCAGTAATTAAGTTTTTGGGGAGTCAAAAGTTATACATGGATTTCTGTGTTGAGGGTTGATGCCCCCTAACTCCCATGTTCTTCAAGGATCAACTGTATAGGAACAATTTACACAAGAGGGAACCCTGAGTCCATAAACATAAGAATAGATGTTTGACTCACTAGGATTAGGAAATGCAATTAAAATAGCAAGAAGTTATTTCATACCCACAAGACTGGCAAAGCTAAAACGTCTAGCAATGCCAAGTATGGGGATGGTGTGAAGGAAATGGGGACTCTACGTGCTGTTGGTGAGAGTACAAGTTGGCACAAACATTCTGGAGAGCAATGTGTCCAGATGGAGTAAAACTGAGGACCTTCTATGACCCAGCAATTTCATCTCCAGGTGCTACAAGTGCCTAACAGAGCATTTATGATGATGTTCTATGAAGCACTGATTGTAATATTAAGTAAGAAAATGTAAAAAAATTCAATTGTCCCTAGGTAAGGAAATAAACTAGTAAGTGGTTCTACTAGTTAAAGGACTATTATACGAGCAACTAGAATAAATGAGCTAGACCTATGGGTTAAATCTCTAAAATACAACGTTGAATGAACATAGAAAGTTGCATGAGAATATATCACTTCCGTAATTTTAAAAAATACTCAGAATAACAGTATACTATTTAACCTATCTTGTGGATATACCCGGGTGGTGATTCTGCTCCCCAGGGAATATGTGGAAATGTCTAGGGGCAATTTCAGTAGGGGGTGGGAGGCGGGGGGCAAGATGGTGGTGGTGGTGCTGTGTATACTGAGCAGGGATGCTCTATAATGCACAGGACAGACTCCACCACCAAGAATGGTCTGCACCAAAATGTCCATAGTGTCTGGATTAGGTACTGCACCACAACAACATGTGCTAACGACATAACATAAGACACAAACAGGCGCAGGCCTTAGACCCACCCACCAGCTGCAGGACTGTGGGAAGGGCAATGAACCTTTGGTTGAAACTGTAAAATTTTATTTCTTCAGAGGGAGTGAGAGTGGAAGAGCAGGCAAAGCAAAACTGAACCCTAATCCCTCTGCTCCTGTGAGGGTGAAAAAGTGCTTAAAAAGCAGAAAGCTAACGGAGCTCCAGGCTCTAGGATGTTTTGACACTAATCTGCTCTCGATGCAGGTTAACTATGAGCCTCTACAAACAGGAAACGCTTCCTTCACTTTGTCTTCTTCAAAAGCAATAACCACATATTTAAAAGAGGAGAAAGGAAACAGCTTGCATTTTGAACAACCGTTTTATGAAATATGTTATTAGTCGGTAAGGAGATTTTCAAATAAAATTTTAAAAAATGACTAATTTTCCAGTTGAGAACAGTAAATGTTTGTACCCTTTTATTAAGTGGACATCACACGGAATAGAACTGCCATCTCTAAAGGTTTTGGTGGGTTTCAGGACGGGATGATCAGGTGGTGTGTACTCTAAGAAGTGTCTACACTGAGAAGCTGGGTTGGAGGAGCTCACTAGTGGCTTTCTGTGGGCAGCTCCCAAGGGAGGGCA